CTAAGACAAAGAGAACTACACTAAAAACTCATTAAAGGCTTTTCAGATCTAACAGGGAGGGGGGTTGGGAATTTTGAATTTGGGGTTGGAAATGGAGTGACCCCTCCAAGCAATGGGAATAAAATACCATGGCCCTCCCCTCTTGTGTAAATGATATATCTACTTCTTGCAATACCTGTATTATAGTTTTAAATACACCGAGTGAGCTTTTAATAAAAAAAATACTATAAACTCGAAAAGATTTTCTTGTAAAATATGTTCTTTTTACTGTTTAAATAATCTATTTTAAATAATACTTCACAGTTTATACATCCAATATGCTTTGTTGTTGTTGTGGTTATTTGAACCAAATATAGCCCTAATTTTTCTTATCTGTTTATACTGTGAACCAACAACTGTATGAGCTCAAGCATGTTGAACGACCCTCCCCTTTAAGCAGCCCATTTTTTCTTGACCCTCCCTTTTTTAGGGTCTGAAAAAGTTATGACCCTCCCCATGTTTCCACCCCCCTCCCCCTGCTAATTTCTGACAAGTCCCTCATAAAGCACGCGGGGACTAGCAGAAGTGTGGAATGTGTGTTCTCATAAAGCGCGTAAAAAAAAGAAAGAAAAAAAAAAAGTACACGAGTGTGTGATGCGTGTTCCCATAAACAACGCTCCCCAGAAAGCAAGATTTAACAGGTATGTTCGTTTTAAAATCTCTACAATACACTTAATCGAAAAATTATTGTCGGATTCAAACCATTAAACACAGAAATTGAGACCACATGAGAAAGGAATTTTGGGAAATGACAATTATCTTATGATGCATTTATATGACATATTCAGTTGATATGAGAACTAAAAAGCCTCTATGCTTTGTGTAAGTGCGACAATTTTAGTATCAGCTTCTATATGTTCTATGTTTTGAACCCGACAATGACTTTCCAATTGAGTGCATATATTGATACGTACTGCATTTGGTGATATCTCCCTTATCAAAATTGCACCGCTTTGGATAATACTGTAGTTGATCTTTCGTACATTTTCTCACCACAGCACCTTCCTCAGAGCAATATCCCTCAGCCTGCTTTAGATTAAACCTATTTATTCCACCAAGGTCCAGTCCTGTCTTGGTATTGAACGCACCCCAGTTGACCTTTTGCAAACTTCTGTATACTTCATCCCTTTTCTTATCTACCTCTTGTTTGAAAACCTTGAACTTGTCTTGGTTGCCAAAGTCGTCGCTTCCCGCTTGAATTTGGTTCGACTTTTCAACGTACGTAACTTCAAAATACACCTAAAAACAGTAGAATATAGATATTTAGATATATAGATACCCTGAAACAACCTCTGGATTCCATTCAAGACAACTGCCTATGATAGAGATTCGTTTTATCACGGCTGACCTAAGCTATGGAATGCCTATCTAATCATATTGAAACATATTGAATCACTTTCATTATCATCATCGTCATCGTCATCATGCATCACCATCATTATCATCATGTTTCATCATCATATATCATCATCATGTATCATCATCATGTATCATTATCATGTATCATCATCATGTATCATCATGTATCATTATCGTCATCATCATGTATCCTCATCAATATCATGTATCATCATCATCCTGTATCATCATCATTATTATGCATTATCATCATGTATCATCAAGTATTATCGTTATCATCATGTATCATCATCATCATGTATAATCATCATATATTATCATCATCATCATCACTATCATTATTATGCATTATCATCATGTATCATCATCATGTATTATCGTCATCATCATATAAATATCATCATCACCATCATGTATCATCATCATTATCATTTTACCTGACGAGTATCAGCACTTCGTTTTCTTCTTGCACTTGCGTCAACTTCTCCGCAGTAGATTTTGACATTCTGAGCATTGCATCGTGGTTTTAACAAGCAGAAGAACGGGGGAGCATTTGGAGGGTACAAAATAGTCACAAAGTCTTGCTTTAGTTGCGCCTGTATATTGGGATCATTGCAATCCCCCTTGAAATAGAACTGTGGTAATGCTTTTATTGCTGTTTCTGATGGATTTGCTCGTTCTTAAAAAGACAAAGCTTAAGAGGAAATTTTTTTCAATAATGAGCAATAATGGCAAGAAACGCTAGAAACTAGACCTTCGTATGAGTTTTGATCCCAATTTTCGTTTTGGGTTACCACTCAAAACCTTTTTTAAACAGTTAGAAACTAATGTACTATGATAAAATGTGTTTGAAGCGCTATTTTCAATTGTACAAAGATGTTTTGTTGTATTTGTGTTAGAATGTTGCTTTGTCAGGCTTTTTTATAGAAAATATATGGGAAATAAGCAAATGAAAGCCTAAACCTCATTTTCGATTCAAATTTTTGCTTTGGGTTAACACTTCGATTCCACTTTCATCGGTCATCTCCACTTCCAAACGAGTTAAACTTTCTGAATAACAAGGTTTTAGCCTTGTACAACAGCTTTTCTTCAAGAAGATAGTTTTTGGCGCTCACTGCTTGAATACGAAAAGAATTCTCTCTTAATATTTACTTTTTTATTGGGAATATTTATGTGCCAAACGCCTTTCCAAAAAAGTACATAAATGTTCTATTAAGACAAAGAAAATTCTTCGTGTCATTTGCAACCGTTGTTAGAGTCATTCCCAGATCCCCCGCGCCCTCTCAAATGACGGCCGCTCACTTGAGTACAACATTCTTTTAAAGTAATTACAAACCCTGGTGTTAGATCTTTTATTATTTGAAGCCTGGCAAGATGGGTATATCAACTGCGGTTCAATTTTTGCAGGGGACTCGGGACACTTCAGTTTTGCAGTAATCAAAATTATAAAGTGTGCCCTCCGTCACAAACACGAGCTATGGCAGTTATTTTCTAATGAAACAAAACGAATTATTCGACTTACTTGAGCAGTCAGGCCAGTGTTCCCTTTGGTCATGGTCGTTTGCTGGTGACCAAGTATCCCACTTTCCATTTGTACAACTGTATGAACTAGCGGGTTTGTAGACGAAATCATAAGTGTCTCTACATGCTACTGAACAACCTAAGACATTGCCATAATTGATGCATCTTGCTAAACCATTCTTTGGTGGACTGAAGGCTTTGCACTCTGGCACTGAAAAGGTCAAGAGATTTGTAAAGGCTGGTTTAGACGGTACGAATTTCGCCTACAACTATCATATACAACACGCTCGCCTCTGTCGTAGGCGAGTTGTAGGCTTGATTTACACGCTACGATTCGAGTTGTAGGATGGCGTGAGCGTGTTGTATATACGATAGTTGTAGGCGAAAATCGTACCGTCTAAACCGGCCTTAATCAATGTTTGAGAAGGTGAAAGGAAAGGAATCTAGAATCATAGTGGATGGTTGCTAGGTGACAGAAGCCACGAATGCCAGAGGATTTAACAGCAAATTGATTCAAGTAACCAGCATCCAAAAGAAAATTTAGGAATCAAGAATGCGCGCGCGCTAACACTAGCATTTAAATACATGTGCTCAAATACCATCTGCACACTGAAGAAGATCTGTGGTCACGGATCGAAACGTCTGTAAAGATGTTCCAAAAATTCTAAGTCACAGACAAACAGATCAAGTATTAATCCAGAATACAGTCAAAAAGCATCGGTGACCGATTACTAAACGAGAAAAACTATACCACGAGATTAGAAAAGAAAAAACACTCGCTCGATAAAAAAGGACCAATGGAAACCTCTTTAGAGGAAAGCTAAAACAAGGTAAGTTTACCCATTTTTTCCGATGTCTAAAGCGCTAGAAGGTGCACACTTTACAGTCAAATCGCTCGAAGAGGCGCCGCGCTTTAAGCTGATAGGACAATTTGCAACGACCATTTTTCGCGATACGCTTGCGCGAAAAATTGATGTGTAATTGATCTTTAACATGTTGATTTTCGCACAAACCTTGCGCGAAAAGTTGACTCGTGTAACATGTATTTAAAATCGACGAGTCGTATCGCGAAAAATCGTCGTTGCGAATCGTCCCGTGCGTGCAACATCGGCTTTACCTCAAAGCGCTCGAAGATGCGCACTTTACCCTCAAAGTGTCCCTGTCGTATTATACCGGTATTTACAGCTGAAGCTACACAGTATTAACAGAAAGAAGTCGAAACAAACGTGGATATCTTAAAGATTAAACCGTGGACCTCTAGATTGAAGGCCGCGCACTTACCAACTGAGTTACACCTGCTCCTAAAAAAAGTGGATGAAAAAAAAAAAAAAAAAGAAGACAAGGAATATACTAAAAGACAAGCACTTTTACTCACCCCTAAGTTTAATAAAGAATGAACAGTCCTCATACTTATTGAGAGCTTTGTCTTTGACTGTGTACTGAATAGAATAAACCCCTGGTGCTATCACTTCAGACCCCATTTTGATGCTCGATAGAGTTTCGGGTGGGATACCAGAATTGTCCGTACAATTGGGTCGGTCCCAGGTTAGTAGAAAGTTGTTGGATTTTGTGACCATCAGTTCTTTACTCGGGGGGCAGAAGCTACAGGTAGGAGGTTCTGTATCTAAAGATCAAGAGTGGATACAATTTTGATAGTTGTTCAGTCATATAAATGCGTGCAAGATACATACCCCTTTGTATCTTGAAATGAAGCGTGGCAGGGCGAGCTACATAAAAAGGATATGGTTAAGTTGTATGAATGTGTTTGTATTAATATTTGTCTGACCCAGGTTCGAGGGTAATGTTTTCCCATTTCAGACCACGTGTCATTCCCTTAAGAATAAGATTTTTTGTTTGAGTTGTATCCATATTCATGTGTCTTCTAATGTGCATCCGAGCGCAAACCTTAAACAAAGAAATGATACTCTAGGGAATGACAGGTAGTCTGAAATGGGAAAACATTACGTCAGAGCCGAGGAGGTCTATTCCCGCACATGGCGTCGAATTTGAGTAAATCTACTTGTTGGACAGCTTCACTCCTGTACTTCGAGGGTTTTTCTCCGGGTTCTTTAGTTCTACTCCCACTCAACTGAAAAAACTAAATTCCTAAATTCCAATTTCTATCCAGTAAGAGTAGATCCACTTAATAAAGCCACTGTTAATTCCCAATTTATGCAATTTTTATCGTGGGCGCGATGCTCGCAGCTTTAACAGCATTGTGTTCGCGCTGTTTGAGATTTGCATTTTTCACCCAATGGCAGCAAGTGAGCAGCACATGATCAGCAAGTGATCAGCAAGTAATCAGCACGTGATCAACAAGTGAGCAGCACGTGAGCAGCACGTGAGCAGCACAAGAGCGACATGCAAGAAACACGTGAGCAGCACGTGAGAAGCACATGAGCAGCAGGCGAGCAGCACGCTAGCAGTTAATATGGTTTTCCGATTTGTTGATGTCGGTTCTACTTACCAAGGACTTCCACTTCGAAGTCGCATTTTTCGGAATTGTTATCGAGGTCTGTAACCTGGTACTGGATTTTATTCTTGCCAATTTCTAGCAGCTTTGGCAAGTCTAAGCTGGTCTCTTTGTCGTTGATCTCCAAGGATTTTGAAAACATCTCCTTTTTCACAGGAGCTCCAGCTCGGAGCGAGTTGTCATCAAATGTAAAAGTCCATTTCACAGATGCTGTCTTCTCGCCTGGGTCGTTTTTAACTTGTATGTTAGACGGGCAATATAACTCCGGAACTTGGTTATCTTTATCACAAAGAGGCAAGCTTCATGAATACGGGCATCATTAAAGGAATGGAAAACGCGTGCGCGTGCTGACAATTACTAGAAGAAGCGAGACAGCGATGTTTCTTGATATACAGCGAGGATCAGCTCAATTTGATACAAACGCAATACAAATATATAGTTTACATATATTCTCATATACAAATTCCTAAGTGCTTTATGACTGCACCTAAACAGCACACCAATTTTTAATTATTTTTATAAAATAATTTTAATAATTATAAAAAATTAAGAATCAACATTATTTTGGATAAGAATAAAGTCCTCCACTCTGCGAGCAGTGGTTGTTTTTTCTTCCCGTCTGTAGGACTGAACGGCAGGTCCCCCGACCTACAACCAAAACGGAGGGCGGAAAAAGACCTCTGCTAGCAGGGCAAAAGCCATCGCCCACAACCAATCAGAACAGCAAATTTATAACAGTTATATTTAAAAGCTATGTTAATTTTTACAGACGTTCTTCCCTCAATCGAGAAATTACTAGACCAGTAAGAAGTACCTTTACATACACGCGGCTCTCCGGTCCATGTGCCTGTCTTGTAATCACATGTTCGAGAATTTGTTGTATCATGAATTGTACCCGGTAGCATGTAATATCCAGGCGGACAATTGTGCTTGCATTCCGTGTCAAACTTTTGGTCTTTCTCGTCACATTGGAATTCTTTGAAAGTGTAGAAGCCAATGGGAACCTTTGGTAACTTTTCGCATTTAACCTCTGCGAATTAGAAATTGCAATATTTTCCAAAATCACATTTCAATTTTATTAATGTTTGGTTCAATGTTAATAGTTTAACGACTAAAGACTTATTTGTACACGTTTAGCCTCGTTTAAGAGCAAATTTTTTCATGAGAAAACATTAGCGATTGGCATGCGCGCGCATCCCTGTAGGCTAAACGGTTATCTCGTGAAGATGTAAACATTTGCAACTGGACTATAAACGAGGTCTGTACAAATGAGTCTGGGGTCTTCAAAAACAGCGGTATGCATAGAATGCTAACAAGAGAATATGAACTAAGAGAAGGAATCCCAGTGCCCCAACATGTGCACATTTTGATGCTATTTTTAGAATCTATTCTAAAAATATCATCCAATGATATCATTTATTTGATCGTTTGATTTTCTGCACGCGCATAGTACGCGCGCGCTCTACGCTGTTTGCTAACGTTTTCTTGTGCTTTTCTCACAGGAAGCCCAATCTCATATAACAGGACGGTTCATAAGGCAATGTATGGGAAATTACTCTCTAGCTTATAACTCTGTGAAAAATAAAGAAAATAAATCCAAACCTTCATGTGGTGTTCCTTATGTTTTTATTGTTGTTTGGTGGCGATTTCAGGA